TGCGCGTACGGACAAGTGCTTTTGAGATGACGAAGCCGGGCCCCGAAGATCAGCCATGCGCGTCAAAATGCCTTTGTCGCAGCTTCTGCGACCGGTCATAACCGCGCGCGGTCGGATATCTCTTTCTTTTTCCTTCCTTCCCGCCACCTCGCCTCGAATAACTTCCACGAATCCCTGATCGGACGGTTATGAGATTACGCTCGGAACGCAAGAAACGTTCCGCGACCTGACGAATTTCGAAATTCAGTTACGGGACCGATCCCTCCGAGAGAAGCTTTACGATCGCCAATCATCTGTGGAGAACAAAGGACGCACGATATCAAGGAGAGGCCGGGATATAAAAAACTTCGCGCTGTAAAAGCGCAAATCCAAACGAAAGTTCAAAAATTTTTATTTCGAAGCGAAAAACTGTTTTCTTCATTGAAAAATTTGTGTACTTTTGTGAAAAAAATTTGCTGGTTAAATTTTTTTTATATTAAGTAATTTACATATTTATGTATAAATTTAACATATGTCTGCTATGTTAATCTTAACAAATATAAAATTACTAAAATGATTTTAAAAAATATATTAAAATAACACAATTTGTATATATTTATTAAATATGTTAAAATTTACAAAAAAAAAAATATTGATTATTTTAACATAATAGGAGTGGAAATGACCACGGGTTACTTATATGTTACTTTTTATCATCAAAATTATGTTAATTGTGCATAATATAAACTTCTATTTGATTAAGATAAAAAATTTCTTTTTTGTTTAAATATTAACATACAGTGCTACTATTTAACATATTCATATAATGTTAAATTAACACAAAAATTTGGACCGTTTGGAACATGTGATTTATGTTAAATTTAACACATTTTTTTCCAACAGTGTAATTGTGACTAAGTCATTCTTCGATTATGATGACTTCGCCTTTCCTCGTGGAATATACTCGTACTCTGGAAATCGATTTAAAACCGACGTATTTTGCAAGCTGATATTTCGGCGTTACTCCGAAATGCTCTCTCGACCGATTTGCGGTTTGGGAAAAACGCGCGGCCGATGATCGTGCGGATGATCGTGCGGAATTTGACACGCGTGACTTTGCACCGTGCCGCGCCGCTCCCGTTCGGATGATCTCGTTCGTGAAGTCTCAGCGAAGTCGTATAATTACGAGGTGCGGAACAAAAAAATGTGGAACGTCGCGGGAAAAAGCGATGACCGACCGACGTCGTTTTCGTCCTCATCGTCCCCATCATTGTTGTCGTCATCATCGTCATCCTCATCATCGTCGCCGTCGTCGTCGCCGTCGTCGTCCTCGTAATCATTCGAAAGAAAGAAAGTGATCGACAGGCACCTATCCCACGTTCGATGGATGAAAAAGAAGGCGGTCGACGACGAGTTTTCGCCGCATCGATCGAAGGCAGCGAAAAACAATCTGGCAGGACCAGCTCCGATTACTCAGAGATATTCTTTAATGATACTCAACCGTTTTATATCAAGCTGTTTGCCGACCCGAATTCTTCTACTTTTTCTTCCTTTTCTTTCTTATCGGCAAAACGTCAGCATTTCTATTTTATACACAATTGTTGTCACAATAATTATAACAACAACAAATTTTAGAACAACAACAAACGTTAGAAAAATGAAAAAGAAGGGATAGATAAAGAAATAATAATTACATATGAATATATAGAATTATGTAATATTGATAAGGAGAAAGATGAAAAAATTAGTAAAGGAAAAGAAATTAGGAAGTAACACTTATATTTAGTGCATGTCATTTTAGTAAATTTTGTCCATTAATTTTCTGCTTGTAGAGCCAGTTCCAATACGGATTCGCAAATATTTGGAACATTAAAAACAAGAATAACGCATATCGCTTGTGCAATTAATTAGAAATTAATTATTTCGGATAATTTGATAATTTTTCGCAGTCTTGACCCGGACACGCTTCCCGGCGTGTTTCGACGTCAATGCAAACGTCAGTGGAACCAATTATTATCTTGACATCTTATTCACGGACGGAGCTGTAATCTGTGGTCATAAAAAAAAAAATCACACACGCAGGCAACATTCGCGATCGTGTTAAACTACCCGTCGCCTCTCTTTCATGATGCGCGGAAAAAATGTACAACCACGTCTCGAGTAATGCACGATCATCGCGCGAGTCTTCTAAAACCGGCAGAATGCGCCGGCATTCTAAGGAATCCAAATAGAACGACGCCATTCGTCATACCGCGCGACGCCTACGGCTAAAATGTTGGAATAGAAAAAAAAAGTTAGACGCGCCAATGCGATAATAATTGCCGATTTTAAGCGACCGATGAAAGACGCCTACCTTCGGGACGACATGAAGAATCATGAATCTCAACGATGACACGGACATGCAATTCTAAACTATCGTCATTATCATTACACAATGCACTCGACATTTGGCATAGAATTCTTCGAAGAATATCAACCTGCCACGATTGATATTCCTTCGACATATCAGTTTTTTCTTATCTTCTTAATTCTGAAATTGTGTTAAAGTTTGTTTATAAAGAATACAAAATTTTTTACGTGTAATAATAATTATTATTTATCAAAATTAAATTAAGGATGTATTACACTTATTTTCATTTATATTGAAAAAATTGTGAAAAAAATCGTTAATAATTCTAGATTGCGTTTAAAAGTAATGTAAAAAAATTTGCATTGGTTTAGAATTTGGATAAAAATTATTTCAATATAATACTTTAATATAAATGTAATTAAGAAATAATGACAAAAATTTCAATTTTTTTGTAAATTCTTTAAGTATATTCAAGACGACATAAATTACTACTTAAATATTTAAAACATATTAAAAAAATTGATATTTTTATGATATTTTTTATTTTTAATCTTGCCATCACACTTCTATTTATTTATTTAAATAATTTGTTATCCAAGTTTTAAATCACTTTTTTTTGATTACTTCTAAATGCGATTTAAAATAATCTGCTGGTTTTTCATAATTTTTCCATTATGAAATATAGAAATATTATAAAAATGGTGACACATCCTTAATAGCCAATTCACTTTTTGGATTTTCAATCACTAATTATAAAGCTTGACTTATTGCCACGATGATGAATACAGACTGATACAAACAAACAAATACGATTGTTTGTTATATATTAATCAATATTATTATTCAGTTTACGTGGAAGAAGAAAAATGTGTAACGAAACGTGTTGAACAGGTTGAAAGGTATACGCGAAAAGGAGTGCAAATCGAGATGCAACCGGTCCGCGAATCCTTCCGGGTTGACGATTCCAAACGGAATCGCCGCAGCCGAAAGGCGACATTGGAAGGCGACATTACGCTCGTTCGAGGAAGCACGAAGGATCGACGATCGCATCTCTCACGGATCTCGAGTTCGCTCATCTCTCTCTCTCGTAGTACGTCAAGGACTCGGGAGAGCGAACCAGGACGAACTCGCGTTCATTCGTGTTCCTGGTATGCCGCATCGCACGTTGCACGTATATATACGTGCATGCGTGCGTGCGTGCGTACGTGCGTGCGTGCGTGCGTGCGTTCCACGTGACGCAATCGGATGCCAACGACTGCAGCAGATCCCGGCGTGCTCGTGTTTCGCGGATGCTACCGGCTAACGGTCGCAAAGGCAAACACGCACGCATGTATATATACGCGTGTACGTGAACAAGCGAGCAAATACAAGCCAGAAGCGAAGTCCAGAGTGACGTCAAGCCCGGTGAATGGGTCTCAGCCTCGAGAATTCAGTTTGTCGAGCCGACCAGAAGAGGCGCAAGCTACCGATCGCAAAATCTCTGAGGGAATTCGATCGATAATGCGGCAAAGAATATTTTCATGCATCAACAGCAACTCGTCAGTAATTGGAATATTCAAATTATTAAATCAATATAAAAACTTTAGGCGAAAGGAAGAAAAAAGTTTTTTAAGGAAAAAGACGCGTTGCATCTTTAGCGCACGTATCTTCGAAGATACAGTTCACAAAAAGTTGCGGTCGATAAAATATATTTTATCATTTTGATTGTACTAAAAAATTGTATAATGAAATAAAATTGATCAGTTTTACGTACCATTTGTACATATATCATATTGTTTTCAAGTTAAAAGGCAATCCTGAAAAATATCATATATTACATATGAAATTGAAAGAAGTTTTATGAATTAATTAAAAATATATATACATTAATGCCGTTACAATAATATTGAAATAATTTTATACTAAAAAATTTTTTAAATTTTATTTTTTTAATATCAATATTGTTTTACAAC